AAATCTCAGTTCACAGAAGCCTCCACTGCCACCACATGAGATGACAGGGACATTCTGGTATGGCCTTTACGGATTAAAGGGAACTGAAGGTGCCCAGCACACCTTGATTGAGACCACTCTTTTTGTGTGTGTGCATGTGCTTTCCTTCCTTCTTTTCTCCACCTTCCATTTTTAAACTCTTTGCACTGCCAAGAAATACTGATTTTCTAATTTTCAAAAGCTACGCCTTCTTGGTCAAAGTCTTCCAGGTGCTATAGAAGTATATTCTAGCCAGCTTGATAAATAATTTCTTCCTTTTTCAAATACAAGCCATTTAACATTTCACAACTGCTATTCCTGTGAGAAACCACTTTCTCTTAACTGACATACAAATTTATACTGCAGTGTCTACTCCAATGGTACATATCAATAACAATGTCAACGACATTTGTATTCTGCTTGCATCCCACTCAAATTTCTCGTGAAGTTAGCAGGGAGATTCTCATTGATCTTCACAGTCTAACTATTCAGATGCAAACACCAGCATGCACAAATGTCAAAGTTACTTTTATGGAAAAAAATCATGAAAATTTTAATTTTCCCTAGATTGCACATTTTTTTTAGTATTTCAGTGGATTCATTAGACATGTTATTATTATTTTTTGCTGCTATTCCTTGAACAGATTTCTAACAATAATCAATAAGCTAACTTTTACTGTAAGCTCTAACTTTTACTGTAGGCTTTTTTGAAGCTTTCCTTCATATAGCTATGAGGAAATCCCTTCAAGTGCAGGGCAGTGGTCTAAGAACAGAGAAAAGATGACTGAAGATATACAAAAGGATTCTAAAAGATCTTCATAGATTCCGTCTTCTCTAAAAGACAGAATCTATGAAGGATGGAGAGAAACTCTTTCTTCCTAAAAGCCTGTCCTGGGTTCAGCAGTAGCAGTCATTTTTCTCCTCCTTGGTAGCTGGTGCAGCGCTGTGTTTTGACTTTCGGCCTGGGAACAGAGCTGATAACAATGATGTTTTGGTTTGGCCACGGACTTTGTGAGCCTCATGCTCTGCCAGGGAGGAGGGGAAGCCAGGAGAAAGCAGAGACAGGACACCTGACCTAAGCTGACCAAAGAGGTATTCCATACCACAGCACATCATGCCCAGGATGTAACTGAGAGTTACCCAGAAGGGCTAGGACTGCAGGGTTGGAGGAGGTATCGGTCAGTGCTTGGTCGGGCTGGGAGGGTGAGTTATCAGTTGGCTGGTGGTGAGGTGTTGTATTCTCTTCCCTTGTTATTTCCTTTATCATTATTATTGGTGGTAGCAGTAGTGATCTGTGTTATACCTTAGTTACTAAACTGCTCTTATCTCAACCTGTGGGAGTTGCATTCTTTTGATTCTCCTCTCCATCCCTCCGGGAGTAGGGGGGAGAGAAAGAAAGGGGGAGGGGCAAGTGAGTGAACAAGCTGTCTGGCTGGGTTTAAACCACGACAAAGCCTGAGATGATAAATGCTTTAGCGAGAAGTGCAGAGAGTGCTTATTGCCAAACAAATATCTGATTAACACATGCATACAGGCAGCAGTCCCTTGCTTCCTATAAATCAAATTAATGTGAAGACCAATTTTAAGCCTTACAAAGACAAAAGCAAACTGGCTTCAGACGAACAAACAAAAAATGGACCTCAATCACTGGAATATAGTTATAGCAGACTAAGGCAACCAAATACCATAACAAAACTTCTGAAGGAGAAAACGGTATTTACCACCTGTTGAAACATACCATTTAAGGAAGTTATATATAGTCTTTAATTAGGCTGCTGGAGGGATAATTCTGCATAAACCTAACCACACAATTGTCCAGTCAGCAACGTATACTACAGAAATGTCTCTCAAAGTAACACATGCTGTTACTCACTGAAATTAAAAAGCAAAGAATAAAAGTAGCACTTGTACCACCGTATCGACCATTTGGTTGCCTGGAATTCACGCTCCCAAATTAATTCATTGAAGGCAAATAAAGCTTTGTACTGACTTGACAAAAGCAAGCTATTATTTCACTGACCATAACCCTAAGCGCTAGGAAAGGATTTTCCGCTTACTGATTTTACAGTAAAGATACTAGAATGCAAAACATCTGCTCCCTTTACCTTCTCTAACTTTTCCCTTTGCTGAAACACTACATTATCCAAAGAGAAACAGACAAAATCAGTAGAAATGTTGCCCTTGATGAATTTTGACGAGAAGAAGAATCAGCAAGTTTTTCTACAGAAATTTATTTTTTTCTACAGAAAATTTATATACAGAAATTTATTTTTTTCTACAGAAAATTTATATAAATTTTCTACCTACTTTCCTTAAAGGTTTACTTTTTACTTATGACATTGATAAACATCTAAATATTCCATTTTTTTCACACCACTATTGTGAGAGCCTCTCACAATGTGCAAGTCCAAATCTTTCATCATTTAAACCAGGCATGACTTTGCCAGCAAGTACAACTATTTCTAACGCTTAAAGTTTCAAACTAATTTAGCCCCCTCTTCAGTCCATCCAATCTTTTAAAATTACCATACACGGAAGTGGTTAGCAGAAAAAGTCAACAGTTCCATTGAGAACGGTGGAATACATTTAACACCAAATAAGGCAGCTTACAGGTTTAAAATTGTATAGTTAATATTTCAAAAGCTGTTTTCTACAGGCTGTATGAATACCTGCAGCACAGCAGGTGTGGCTTTACAAGTCTCATTACCTTCACTTGGTGACCTTAAGAAAGCCCTTGAACCACCAGCTTCACAGGTTTATTGGTGTTTTTTATGCCCTCCTTGTAGCCACTCACCTCTGTCTGAAAACCTGAAAATACAGTAGCCAATCTACACACTATAGAGATGCTAAATAAATATTAAAAAGGGAAAAATCCTAATATGAAAAAAATTAATCACTGGGAACCGATTTGCCTGCACAAACAGGGAGCTGCAAATGAGAGGGTTTATAGCCCTTGAGATAATGAGATAAGCCATGCTCTGCCTCGACTCAGTAATAACTTAGAAAGCCTTTGGACTCAGTCCTTGCGGAGTTTCTGTAGCAGGTTTTAAGGGCCTATCCACTACCTGAGTACAACACTAGCTATTACATGAATAAAAATAAAGACAGACTGCAGAATGGACATGAGACTCAGAGAAGCTTACATCTCCAAACATGCAACTTTATTACATTATTTACATTAAAAACCCTGAATTGTTGTTCCAAAACAGACTGAAGTCAATAGAGAATGCAACAATTTCTAATACATTGGCATAACCATGCTATTGCAATGAACTAGTATCGTTACTTTCATACAGCACACAGCAGTGGCGGTAAGATTCTAACACACACGGATATCCTGGAACCTGCTAGGAAGACTACTGTCATCTGGCTGCTAGAGAACATCAGCTGTACCTACATACATATATAAAAAACTGTAGTCAAAATGCTTTTACAGCTGTTTTAATACTGGATACGAAACACGGGTGAACCTGGTGTTTCCACTATTTATCCAATAAAAGTCTGTCGTTCATTATAATAAAAAGCACATTCTACCTTTAAAACATGAGGAATCTGTATGATCTAACAGCCTTCTCCCCTCAACAAATTACAGAGCAACAAACAAAACCAGATTTCAGGAAAAAGTCTAATGGGAAAGAGCCTCTGTTCAAGTTTTTACTTGAGAAATAAACAGAAATGTTTCCTACTGAACTCAGCATCAATTTCAACCTTACAGCACAAAAACAGATCACCCGCAATGTTATTATGCAAGAAAAGTCACCCAAGTAGTGCTTCAGCACAAGATTTTTTTTTTCCTAAATATAACAGAGTTCAGTTATGACATTTCTGCACATGTACCTGAAACCAAGTACCTAACTACATACGAATACTCAGTTACAAAAGACGTCAACACCATTAAAAAAAACATTTCCAGACTCACTTCCAAATATTTCAGCAAACTCTATAGGAAATTTCTTTCCATATCTCTCCCATACAGACAAATATTCTTTATTAAGACAATTTTCAAGAAACAAACAAAAAATAATCATTATCCAGAGTTGTGAGAAGATCCCAGAAAACTTGTCCTTCCTCTGACAAAGCATAAGCACACATAAATTGAAGGTCTTTTCAGGCCTACTGGAAAAAGCAATGTGGTTTTCAACAGGATCAGATTAGCTCATGAACAGGTTTGTGTTCAATTCCAAACTTGAGCGCTTAAACTTTCATTGGTTTTAAGTGTTTCAGTTCTTCTCCCTGTGCTTTACTTCTAGCCATGAAATTGGAAAAGAGAAGGAAGCTTTATTTCCAAGCGCCCCATCTCAGCTAATGACAGACTGTTTGAAGCAGGAACAATGAGCTGACACAGCAGCTCATTACCCCATCATCTACAAATCCTTAATAACACTCAACATCCTACAAAACTACAGTATTCCCTATAAATAACATAAATCAGAAATCAGCAGTTTTAATACTGGGTCTCCTTTAATTTTTGACATATTGCAGACATTTCTGTGGCATATTAAATTTACACATAAAAGATAAAGAACAACAGATGAAACCCTGAGAACAAAGCCTTCTCACCTCTGCTATTCTTCCTATGGAGTTTCATAAGCTAACTGGAGCAGATCTCTATCCTGGCAGTTGGATTTTAAACTCATAACACGTATCATTATCCCAAGGCAGCCTACTGAATTTACTGCCTTTTATGACAGTACTTTAATAGATAATGATGCACAAAGAATATGCCTAGTTGCTCACCAGGTCTTTAACTGGCATAGGAGAAAGAGAAGCCCGGACAAAATAAAAACGGCACCAAAGAGTCTTCAGCCCTTCCCATCTGTAAATGCCAGCTTCCTTCACTTCAGGAGGAGGTGGGGCTGGGAAACACTTCTTTCAGAAGTTCCACCCTTCTTTACACATGCACAGATTTCATTAATAGTTAACTGGCGACATACAACATTAACTTACTCTGGTATTCATAGCTTTCCATCCATGCTTGCCCCATGGTAAGCACAGTTCAAGGTAACTGCTTACAAATATTTTCTGAACCATGACACACTACCCCAAGACTTGCTTTTCAGTCTGTCTCACTGATTAGCTCATTTTAAAATCATAAAATTCCGTGCAATTTTTCTGCAAGTGAAGAAAACAAAGGGTGACTAACAGAGCATTGGGCTGCTAATCAACACTCCCTCTCACACATCCAAAATGTGGCAGCCAGACCAATATTAACATGGTCTTAGGTTTAAAAGTCTCCTTGCAAAATCACTTTGACTTCTACCAACATCACCAACGGACTAAAGGTTCTAGGCCTGTTGCATGAGTAAACTGGAAAGCTCTTCAAAAGAAAATCATCCCCCTTAAAGAGCTGACCTTACTCCCATTCAAGTTAGAAAGTCTTTACAAGTGCTGTGAAACAACCACTAGAGAGACTCTTGAGTGTAAGGTCTCCTCAGCTGTGAAGAGCTTGGAATAAGAGGATGCCTATATTAACCAGGCCCTTTAGGCCACATTGTCATGTATTTCAACATATAAATATTTGAAGACATTTAAGGTACACCAATATTCAGTGACTTCAGTGATAAAGAGCAGCTTTGTCCAACTGACTGGCACTTCATCAATAAACTCCATTTAAGAGTCTGCCCAGTCTCATTTTATCTGCCTAATTACTTACCTCTCACAGCAATAGCATGCTATTAAGGTTTGCTGATTAAGATTTGAAAGCACTTTGAAGATTTATTGTACTATACAACTGCTAATTATTATTGTTCATACCTGCATTCAGTTGTGAGGAAAATAGCTATGTGCCAAATAATGCCTGTTCCACATATAAAAGTGAAAATAATTGCTTCGCTGTACTCTTTAAAAAGTAAACAGATAAAAAGACTGCACTTTAACTTGCAGTCTTTCACTATGATACTTACTCTATAAGAACCACATGGCTGAAATAAACCCACCATAAAGGGAAAACAAGCCAAGAAACAGAATACCTTCCTTTCCACTAGAACAGGAAAACATATTTGTGCCCTGGTAACTTCCCACCTGCAAGAATGTAATCTCCTTCCTTTCCTAGCCTTCTTCACTACTTCCCTTTAAGGCATTTGAAATGAAAATGCTGTGCACAAGTTATCACAGGCTCAAGATGACCAGCTACAGTGGTTATTTACCACTCATCCCTATCACAGCCCCCTTTAAACTCTCAAAGGCCTGTGAAGCTATGAATAGATTACTGGGTTGCATCCTCTCCATACACTCTTATCCTGGTGAAAATATGCGCTGTGAGCTCACTTATCCCTTAGCATTGAGCCCATCCTTCTCCCACGGATACTTCCTTGTTTCATGCATGCTTTTCCATCCACTCAAGTGTCCTCAAGTCCAGGGCTGTCACAGCCTCCGGGACCACTAAACAACAGTCTCAGGACAAAAAGACTGTTTTTTTAATTAACTCATTATAACAATACCCTGTGATACAGCCTGTGTCTTTTTACACCTGGTATATTGAACAGTATTTATTTCTACTCCACATTTAACAAACAAACAAGCAAAAAGGAAAAATCACAATGAATAGAAAATAATATAAAAATCCTCATCTGCAGGAGGTTCAACTTTATCATGCACCAGCAAAAGAAAAAAAAAAACAAAAAAGTCCCATTATGGAAGGAATATGCTATGTGCTTTTCCAGTCATCAGACAGGACTGTTCAGTTAAAAACAAGCAATAAAACATCTTAAAAAGTTAGACTGTAGTTTTTTCTATCTCTCGCTGTGATTCTTTTCTTTCCTTAAATTACTGCTTACATTCAAAAACTGTTTATGGAAAGACGTGGCAGATAAAAGAGACACTTCTGACAAAGTACATATGCCAAATGTGAAAGCTGAATAGATAGGTACATTTGATAGCACAAGGAGTGGTAGCAAATTCTGTTGTAACTGCACTACCAAAAGATTCTAAGACTAGATTTATTCTTTCCCCATCAGTATTTCTTGCACAAGAGCTGAACTATTTGTTTTCCTCTTTGTGTCTTTATCCTGGTTGATTATAACTCTTGCAGAAATATCTTTAAAACGTATTTCTGGTCATCCAAAGACACACTTGCTCAGACAGAGTATCAGCCAGGGGCCTGATGCATAATTTGAACACAGAAAGTAGTCCTGGTCTGGAGTCATTACTTCAGGTATAAAAATTTCATCGCTTCACTAGCCTGAGCCCAAATGAAAGAACTGGGAGTCAAGACAGCCAGGAACATACATAGTGACAGCTTTCTCACATGAGGTTCTGCCCCCAGGAGAAAGGCTGTGTATTCTGACCCAGTTTCGCTGTAGTTTCATAAACCATGTCCTCTTCCCACTGAAAAGCCTTCGTGAACTGATCACAGTTACTGCCCCAGCTAGTTCCATATGCAAAGACTTTCATATTCCCTTCTCCAAAACTCACACCTTAATAAGATGGCTAGACACAGATTACCTGCAAACAACCTTTTAGTCTTCATGTCCTACATTCACTTCTGATCCTACCTACAAAACCAAACCGGTTCCCAAATGTTTCCCCAATAAACAGGAGGGGTACAGAGCAGCTCTTGGCGGTTCCCTATGAAGTCACTGCCTTTGTTGTTTTAAACATCCAATTTAAAGAGAATGACACAATCTAAAATATGAGAGAGATTATCCTGCGGTCTGCGGAGGTGTCGATTGCTAGAGATAAAAAGCCAATGAAACCTACGCTATTTCTCATCATCAGCCAACAGATTTATACTTCGTTTCTGTTCCTCCAAAAACGTTAATAAGGCAAAAAGTTTCCCTCTGTTAAGCAGTTCGGGGGCAGGGAGTTTGCTTTGTTTGGTTTGCGAAAGCAAAAACGAGCCCTTGGCCGCCGGCACACACAAACCCCCACGCGTGTACTGCAGCTACTGAACGCTCAGTTCAACCCCAAAGGCGACCCGGGCAGGAAGTCCAGGGGGAGAACCAACACCCTCCGCCAAGCTTTGTGCGGCCTCTCTTTTCTCCTCCCGCGCCTCGCGGACAGGGCCGCTACCCTCCCCCGTACTTCACCCTGCCTGCACCCCTCGGGGGGGGGGGCGAAATCCGCCCTCCCCTCAACAGCCCGCTCACCTGGCGGCACCGTCACGGCCGCTGCCCCACACCATTAAATGATCACCAAGAGTCGCCCGCCCGCGGGACCCCCTGCCCTCAGGTCTCTTCTCCCCGAAACGGCCACGCACCTCCAGAGTGGCCGCGAAAGGCTCCCCGGCGAGCAGGGAAGAGCGGCCCGGGCAGCAGCGGACCTACCGATCAGCCTGGAGACGCCGTTCGTGCATGCAGGGCTGTGATAGCACCGAAGAGCCCAGATCTTCGCTGTTCCGCGCAGCAGCGCTCGCGTACGCTTGTAGTCGGCGCCTGTAAGGGAGAACGGGGAGGGAGTCAGAATGAAGCAGCATCTCCTCCCGCACCAGCCGCCAGCCCCGGCGCGGAGAGGGCGGGAACGGCGGCGCGGCGTTCCCCGCCCCGCGGCTCCCTCCCTCTTTCCCTCCTTTCTTCCCTGCCCCTGTGCATGGCCGGCCCACTGCAAGCAGCCCCACTCCGACCCGGGTACCCACCGCCGCGGAGCCGCCCGGCCCTCCCGCTCCGCACTCGGCTCCGCCGGCCGCTGCCCCCTCAGGGCCGCCAGCAGCGCGGGGAGGCGGCTACGTAGCTGCCTTTCACCCCACAGCCGCTCCCTCCCTCACGCCCCCGAGGCAGCGGGGAAGCTGCTGACACAGGCCCAGCCCCGCCCGCGCCCGGCTCTCAGCTCCCGCCCCGGCCCTTTCGCGCCCTCAGCGTACGGCCGGAGCTCGAAGGTGACGGGCATAAGCTACTGCGTTGATAACGGCAGCCTGTTCTTGGCCCCAAAGGAGGATGATCTTCTGGTTGCTCCCAGTACGTGGCGCTTAAACTGGGAGTCATGGTTCTCTGCTACAGCAGTCTCGTACAGTCTCCCGTCCCGGAAGGTGCTGAAGGGATGGGGAAGCTGGGGAGCCATCCATGGGCAGACGTTTTATTTCCCATCACTAGCCAACCGCTGCTACATCGATGGTGGGGGGGGGGGGAGGAACAAAAAAAAAAAGCCAAACAAAAAATCCCCAAATTTGCACAAAGCAAACTTGCACAAAGGATTCAAATACAACCAGTTGTTTTTGGACTGGCAGACACTTCTTTTTGTACTTTGAATGTGAGACTTTGGGGACCCACTTGACAGTGGGCTTGAGGCTTCTCCAGTGGGTTCCTGTGGGCCTTCTGCATGAGCTCCCACCTTTGTGGAGACAGGCTGTGAAAGAAAGTAGTCACAGGGTAGGAAAATTACTCTTAGTTGCAAAGAACACTGTCACAGAGATAAGGCCTGAAATTCAGGCTATGTGAAAATAGCTTTTTTTCAGAAGGATAGTCTAGAAGAATATTTTTCTATTTAAAAATTGAGTATTTTTGTGTGCCTGTTGTAATGTGTGGGGTTTGTTCATCAAGAAGTTTGGGGGAAGGGAGGCTCTCTGTGGCTGTCATTATGTGAAACAATACTCCTTTTGACTCTGTAACTGTTGTACTCTGTAGGTAATGGGGGGAGGTCAGTTGTATTGTTGCGCGGGATTGTGAGAGAGAAAAGGGGGGCTGGGTGGCTCGAAGTGGTGTCTTGTTGCAACGCTTGAGGGGAGGGGGCTGCGACGGTGAGGAGGCTGGCAGTGGACGCTTCTCGAAGCCTCTGACAGCTTCTCGAAACTTCCCGAAACTTCTCGGTAATGAGATCCCTGCAACAAAGGGAACCAATGGGGAAGAGCCATGTCAACATCCGAGTGAGGAGGGGCGACAGGATTGGCCGGGGCCTTGAACCGGAGAAGATAAAGGACCGCCTCCCAGGGACCGCGTGTGCGCGTCTTGGGCGGAGCAGAGGGCTCCGCGGCGCACCCAGCGCTGTTTTATCTGCTATCGCTTACTCAGTTTAATAAAATTTATACTTTAAACCAAAATTGGCTAGAATATTGATAACACCTGTGTGTGGAAACAGTTGCTTTAGAATAAATAAGAAATGCTTGGCTGTAACTGTTCCATAAACTAAATACCAATTCCTTTGTACTAACGAAAGTACTAAGGACTCAACATGAAAGTGAGTCTGCCATAAGTAATACTGTCAGTGACTTTGTGAAAGTCATAACAAAAATAAAGATGAGTAGTGGAACTAATTAACATTTTAAGAGGCTACAGTAATCTGAGACATTGTTAGTTATGTAATTTAAATATTATTTTCTTGTAATACAAGTTCCTTAAGTTGATAACTATCTACTTACTTTTTAAGGTGAACTGAACGTATTGCTATTTCCAAAAAGCTTTTTGGTCTCTGTACATTTATACATTCCACAGCAAGGGCCCACCCTCTTTTTATACAGGTCAGTGTCTTACTGAAATAATACTTTTATGGATGTTTATGTAATAGGTTTTATCCTAAAACTTGGTTTCCATGCCTTAGGTCAATTTATAATTGCTATCACCCATGTTACTATATATTCTATCTTATTTACTGTATTTGAAGATGGAGCACAGAAGAACTCCCTATAGAAACATAGGGGGGTTTTGCAAAGACACATCATTAATGCAAGTAAACAGAGTGAGTAAAACAGGACTTAGAGATATGTTATAACCCAACCTACATATAAGGCAATCCTTGTGTTAGAATATGCCTCTGAATGTAGAAGTCTTCTCCCCAAAACCTCATCTTTCTTAAAAGACTGTAAATTTGATTGTAATTTACTTTCCTCTAAAGAAGATTTAGTTCCTTGTTCTTCATTCTACTAATAAGCAACTGTATGGGACAGCATTTTCCTTAGCTTTGTAAATGTATGTGAATGCCTTGGCAATTATATCATTATACTATTTGATTTTTTTTTAATTAAATATCTTCAGCAGGAAACATGGAGCTTAGGATCAATGAAAAATACAATTTCCATCTCCACCTACTGTGCATTTACAGGCATGCAAATACACAAAGAACACTGTCATAACTTTTGAAATTTCTTACATCATTGACTAATAAAAAGACATAACACATTGTGCACAAAGACTGCTGCCTTGGACTGCCTCCATTGTGGAAAAAAAAAGAAATGGCATTTGTCAGTGTGGTGCTTCTGCCATTTGTTATGAACACAACATACATGTACTGCAAAGACAGACATGCAAGAACTTAATATATTCCCAAGTGTGACTTTTTCCTTAGCTCTTCAGAGGAATTTTCCATGCCAACCAGACTTCAAGCTTTAAATTTTCCCCTCAGAGAGTGTCTGGCAAATAAATATACTTCAGTTACTCCACCATCAAAGTCTTGCATCATTTACTCATAGATTTTGCTTGCTATAGTGCAACTTTGCTTATGGGGGGATAAGGGGAAAGCTAAATTACATTATCTACTGTTCTTGTTAAAACTTCTTTAGTAAACAGGTGTTACTCTATCTATCTGTGTCTAAACTGGGAGATTCAAGAGCACCTTCAAGTTCCTGGTCTGGGATGCATGTCTGGCCATAACTTGAATGCATTTGAGAATAAAACCTCTACGTAAACTATAACCCTCACTTAATATCATGCTTATGGGTAACTGAAGAGTCAAAAATTGTGTGGCACTCTACAGCGTACATGTCAAGGTCACAATAGAGGAAGGCTAAGTCTGCCTAATCACACTTTGTGACTAAGGAAAACCATAAAAAAGGGAAAGAAGAAAAAAGCCCAACACAGCTGCATCATATATAATTCATACACAGCTTGGCCTGCAAAGCAAGATTATTAGAATATTAGGGCATTAGGTGTCATCTAAGAGACCCTAAGTAGGTTACATTTGTTTCTCAGAAAGAAGCAGCAAAGAGAAATAGCTACCACAAAGATTAAATCTCTGAGAAATTAAGATTTAGTACAAGGATTGTCTGAGATTTTCAAAAGCAACAATTCATTTGAGGCGTCTCAGTTGCGGTGCCCAAACAGGGACCTTACTTTCAAAAAGGGCACAATAAGAGGTGTCTGAAGTTTGGCAGCTTCATTCACAAATCCCTTTAGAACTATTAGCCATTTTATGCTCTTTGGCTAAATGACAATCAAGGGACAGGGAGAACTCTGCCTACACTTGAAGAGGCTGAATGCCTTCTCATCAAGTGAGAAGAAGCAAGTATTTTTGGTCTCCGTCTCCAATAAAATCCATTTGGTAGGTTAATGTCAGGTTTAAAGTGTGCTTCTTGGCTCTGTATAGGTACAGTTGCAGCAAAGAGAACTGAGACGTATTTGGAAGTATAGACATACGTACTACGTAAAACAGAGAAAAAAAACAAAACAGAGATTTTACTAGAAAAGTATTTCTTACACCAAGACTTACAGCTCTTGAGGATAATCTTCAAGAAAGTCTAATTTACAGAAGCTAATTAGCTTTAGATACTTAAAACCAGACTGGTTGAAATAGTAGTAAATATACAGTAGAGAACAATCTCTTGCCCAGACAGAAGCTACTTGTTCAAACAGGTCCCCTCTGCATTTAACTTTGGAGTCTATCTTAATGAAGGTTTTGTTTGTGAATATTACAGTCAAGAGTTAAAGCAGCGGAAGAGAGACATTAAAATGTATAGGGAGAGGAGGAGAAAATGAGTTGATTTTATTTGAGATTTGAAATGAGATGAAGGGTCACCAAGGCTAAGAAATACACAAAGGCTGTCCCAGACTACAGCCTGTTTTGAAGAAAAGGCTCTCACATCAACAGTAGCTAGATTGTGTGGAGGGACAGACCAAAGTCTAGACAAGTTGCTGAGGGTGGAGGCACGGAGAAGGGAGATTTTTTTTTTCCCCAAATTGTAGTGTTTCTGTAATTCCATAATTGATGACTCGTCTGATGAAATTTTAAAGGCCAGGCAGACAGGATTTTTGAGTATTTCTTTTTTATAGCTCCCTGGCATTTAAAAGCGTTGTGCTTATCTTCAATGAATGCATTGCTCTGCTGCTGCAACACAGCTTAGCAATATTCTGTTTGCAATTGCTAGAACAATTTCTGCTGAATGCAGTATGACCTTCATAGCTCCCTTAAATAGAGAAGGCTCTGACTTGAACTAATGACAGCTTTACATTTTGCAGTGATCTTTAGTATTTGTATGTCAGCAAGAAATTCTGCTTATCTATTGCTAAATTCTATATTTTGAGGGTCATCCTTTTTTTTCTGTTTTTACTGTCATGCATTGAAATTTGCAAAATGACAGTTCCAGTAAGCAAATGTCTGCAGACAAGCAATCTAACATGTAGATCCAGTATGCACAGCTCGTGCACTATTTTATTGCATTTCCAGAACTGTTGAAATTCCTAAGGCTCCTCACATAACCTTTTCTGCTTAATCAAATCTCACTTTTCTAAAGTGGTAGAAATTACTGGAAGCCAAATTAATCCTTATCTTTAAGGATTGCACAGTTTTGCTATTTTTGACTAGCAAATATTCAGATGTATGATCTTAAACCTAATTGAAAGGTATGGGAACTGAATATATTTATTGTAGTACTTTTTGTTAGAAGGTAGAAAAAACAGTAAAAGAAATACAAACCAAGCTAATATAGCCCAACTTTTTTTTTCCATAACTTTTTTACCTTTTTTCTCTTTGTTGACATCTAAGAGAATTTTTTTGAGTTTTTGTTGCTACTGGCCGTAGCAACTGCA